GAAACAAAGTATATTATAGAGCCTCTTCTAAATTCTATGTAGCCTTCGAACAGTCTTTCTTTAATCGAGACTCGACTAATTTCTCTGGAGACGAACAACCTCCCCTTAATCAAGACTCGGCTCTTTTCTTTGGAGCCCTCGTACTTTTTATTCGACACGTGAGTCACTTTTGGACTATACCTCTACTACTTTGTGATGGGAGGGAGGGAGGGAGGGAGGGAGGGAGGGAGAGAGAGAGAGGACTATGCCTCTACTACTCTGTGATGGGAGGGAGGGAGGGAGGGAGGGAGAGAGAGAGAGAGAGAGAGAGACGAAGAAGGTGGCCCATAACATGTCTATTCAATACCTCCATGATTTGATTTGCATCTTCTTCCACTCACTCCCACACTCTTCTCCCTATTGATTTCACCACCAAATTTCAATTCCCCCAACAAAATTTGCCTTATTTAGCAAAATAAACTTCATATTTTCATCCATTTCAGTTCATCATCCAACAACAAACCATGTCTTTCGAAGGAGGAAGCAAAGATTTCTCGGAAGGATCTTCATCAACCTCTTCCCCACAGCCTGGTGGACCAATCCCAAGCCGATACGAGTCCCAAAAACGAAGAGATTGGAACACATTTTGCCAATATTTGAAGAATCAAAGGCCCCCAGTTCCTCTTTCCCATTGTAGTTGTAACCATGTTTTGGAGTTTTTAAGGTATCTCGATCAGTTTGGCAAGACAAAAGTTCATGTTCAAGGTTGCATGTTTTACGGCCAGCCCGAGCCACCTGCCCCTTGTACTTGTCCTTTAAGACAAGCTTGGGGCAGTTTGGATGCCCTTATTGGGCGCTTGAGAGCTGCTTATGAAGAAAGTGGTGGCTCCCCGGAGACCAACCCTTTTGCTAGCGGTGCAATTAGGGTTTATCTTAGGGATGTCAGGGAGTGTCAAGCTAAAGCTAGAGGAATTCCTTACAAGAAGAAGAAGAAGACTACTACCACTAATCAATCCAAAGGAGCTGAAGATTCAACCTCTATGATGCACTTTGTCCCTTGATCATTATGGTAACTTATTTCTCCCCCATCATTTCTCTTTCGAATTAAAACGTCTCACGATTAGGGTTTCTGTATACCGTTTTAATCATCTGGGTTATGCTCGACTTACTTAACTGTATCTCCTTTCTCTTAGAATTGTCCCTGAAACAACTACGTGTTATAAACGATTCTCGTGTGAATCAGGTCAAATATAGACAACTCTATGTCACTTAGAGCTAAACGATTAGTGATAATTCTAACAGCAAAATGTTGACTCCTTTCGAGATTATTTCGGGATTAGTGTTTTCAAGGACTATGAAGTGATCTTTTTTCACAAAGTGTTGAAAGAACATGATTAAGGTAAATTTCATGTCTCATGACAAAGATTATGTCCTTAATTATAATGTGTTTTCGTGTTTTATTTTCTTATAATCACTTATAATATAAAGCCATATGATCATATCAAAATCTCTATTTGCATTATATGAGACACCATGGTATTTATTACTTTAATTTCTTAATTAATGACCAACTTATTGCTTTTTTATTGTTTTTAAAAAACCCATGAAAGAACAATTTTATTTTTTAATTTAAATTTTATTATATAGTTTTAGCTTCGTACTATATCTAGATTTGCTTCTTGTCCAATATTAGATTTTGTGGGACACTGATTTATATTCCATCATCCAAATCTTTGGACTTGAATATCTTTTTATATTCCCTATTTTCCCTCTCTTTTTTTCCCCCAAAACTTAGCTTAAATTAATTTTCTTCCTACTTCATACAAATTCGTATAAAAAAAATAACTAGGGTTTGCTCGTTGTCCATGAAAATGTTATCTCTCGGCGTTACGTGAAGGTAGAAGATCAAACACTAACCTTTTAGTCGAAGACATTATGCCTTACCTAGTCGAGTGATACTCGAGTTGACTCATGGATCTTACTAGGAACCACTAGATTATTGTCATGTCTCAAAATGGAGATGGTGGCTAAGCATATTTATTGCGAATAGGATTTAGCCTCATGCATAACCCGAGATTTTAGCTTAAATAGTCAGCACCGTAAAAGTGTGTATAGCTTAGTGATAATTAGCGTGTATCCTTCAACCAAAAGGCACATAACCTATCTACTGTTGGATGATGAGAGCTTTTTCTCAAAGTGGACAATATTATACGATTATAGAGAGTCGTGTTTGTCTAACATCTACTACGAGAATTCGAACCTTTTTTATTACCATTAAATTATGCTCGTATGGTATATTTGCAGGAAGTAGAGGAAGGGACAAACGATTGAGAGAAGAAACGAATAATTCTTGTTCGGAGAAGTTATATATATATATATTGTGAAGAGGATTGAATCTGTATCAAATTTGATTAAAGCCATTAGTACTTTATGATATCAGAGAATTTTCATTTCCTTTTGCCTTTTGAATTTTCAGCTTTTAAAATTGCCTTTGGTATCACAAAACTGAGCTAAATGTACGTAATTTGGTGAGCTTTGTAATATGTGTGTTGTGTTGTGCTGTGCTGCAACCCTCTTTTGTACTTGTTTATGTGCTTTCTCTTCCTCGTTGTACGCTTCTATGTGTAATGGGTATAAGCTTAAACCATTTGAGCGGTTTACAAATTTGTTGATTAACGATAATGTTTTAATCGTGTTCATTGTCGTCGTTATATTACATTGCAAATAGAGATTCAAATCGATGATTGTTGACTCAAGTTGTGAGATTCCGTATTGATGGGAGAGAGAAACGAAATATTCATTATAATATTAGACGTGTTTTAAAAACTTAAAAAAAAGGTAATAGGGAAAGTTCAAAGAGTACAATATTTGTTGGTGATGGACTGGAGCTTATTAGATTCCAGATTGGTAGGAGAGGAACGGACAGTAATAGATTCCACATTGGTTGGACTGGAGCGTTATGTTAATTTCGAATGGACATTAATGCCCTTAAATTCCAATCACGTCAAGGATACTCTTTCAATTGTCTAATCCACTTAAGCTCGACCTATTGTAATTTAGATTACAACACAAGGAAATTGTTCATAAATAAAGTTAATTAATTAATCAACGCAAAATTATAACAAATATGTTTCTAATCAAGCTTAATTTAGAAAGAAAAAAAAAACAAACGAATTAGGTGATAAGATAATTAGAGAGGAAAATGAGAGAGAAACAATGCTGCTGTCTCTTCTTCAATAAAGCTGTGTGGAAAAGAGAGAGTCCTACGGAAACCAACAAATTGGACTTATGAAGCCTATAAGCATTTTAGGCTTTTCTTTAAAAACGACTCCTAATTAATTATATTCTTACCCCACTATCCTTTATTCAATTTTCCACCTACATCATTCATAACTCGTTCTCAAAATATGCCTTTTTCGACTCTTTGAATTTAGAATTTGAATATTGAATACGAAAATCTGTAGGTTTCTTCTAATAATCACTCGGTACAAATTTTAAATGCTTTTGAATCGATAACCTAGTTGGTCGAGACGTACAACTAGTACGAAAAAGTCAATCATAACCTAGAAAATGGTTAGATTTTGTATCTAATATACGAAAGACCAAGCAAAGTCCCAATAGAGGTGGAAACTACCACACTGGAGTACGGGAACAGTGAAACGTGCAGAGATCGAAAAGATACACCGACAGTGAAAACATTTTACTAAACTGACACTGACACTGACACTAAGAGACAAAAGCTAGGAGAGCGAATATGATTAGATACCCTAATAGTCCTAGCCGTAAACAAGGGATACTAGACGCTGTGTGCATATCAACCCGTGCTAACTAACGAGTTAAGTAATTTCTCTCATACATCCAACCGAGCAAGACCAAATTCTAGTCTAATAACTTTTGGATGAGCCAAATATTTCTTTTCCTTCATTTTTTCCAATCTCTATTTCCTCTTTGTCTGTTGTTCTGCAAGCTCTGTATCCTTTGTCGACACCATTACCCATTATAGGAAAGTAAAAAGTAGTTTCCTTTGCCCACTCTGTAAATCAATCCAACAAAGAGTTCAAAAGATTGTTCTACTTATTTCAGTTGTCATCAAATTCATCTTTAAAAATTATACATATTTTTTCATCTTTTTTTCATGAAAATATTTGAATATTTAGCTAAATTAGCTTCCAAAAATTAGTATGTTTTTTATATTAAAAAAATAACAAAACAAAACAAAGAAACATAAAATAAATTATAGTAGAAAAACCAAGGCTAAACATTTTAATTCCTTTTTTCACCCGTACTCCTAAAAATTAGTTTCAAATATATATAAAATATATATATATAAATAGATATTGTGATGTTCCAGTTGGGGAGGAGAACAAACCAGTATTTATGAGGATGTGGAAACCTTCCCCTGGAGTTTTAAAGTCTTAGGAGAAGCATGAAAGGGAAAGTTCAAAGAAGACAATATCTACTAGCAGTGGATGTGAGGTGTTACAAATGATATCAGAGCGAGACACTAGACGATGTGTTAACCTTCTCACTGTTCTCCGAAGAGGGTAGACACGAGGCAGTGTGTCAGTAAAGACGTTGGGCCCCGAATGGGATGGATTTAGGGGCGGTCCCATAATGATTGAAGGAAGAAAAGAGTGTCAACGAGGACGCTGGGCAAACCACTATTTATAAGAGGGTAGAAACCTTCCCTAGCAGACGCATTTTAAAGCCTTGAGGGGAAGCCCGAAAAGGAAAGCTCAAATAACGCAATATATGTTAGCAGTGGACAAGGCAAGCCCGAAAAGAAAAAGTCAAAAAGAACAATATCTGCTAGCAGCAGATCTTGTAAGTGTTGGGGCGTTACAGATATAGATAAAAATAAAAATAAAAAAGTCATACCAGGAAAGGGTTGATGTATTATTTAATGGCAGGCTTTGTTTTTAAAGTGTAAAGTGGCGACTGGGGAACCTGGATGAAAGATTTCTGCCAATATTCCTAACAAATATTTCAACAGAACAATAATGGTTTCACTTTCGCATGCATGCACAGGTCAAAAGCAAGGCATAACATAAGCCACTTTCTCACGTGAGAATATTTCCTGAATTTACAAGAATACCCCTGCATTTGCACGTGTAACAGGAGGCTGTAATTCTTTTTCCTTCAGAAACAAAAGTTATTAAAAAAACACAACTATAAATTTCATTACCTGATTCAGATGAACATAACAACAGGTGATTAGAGTGATTGTTACTCACACGTAAGATGTTGGAAACTTCACAAGAAATGCTGATTAATCCAAACCTCAGCTCCACAAAATCCTTCGGCCAAAACAAGCTGAAAATCACGAGAGTTTGGAACCAGCATCGAGGGTGAGAGGATGTGTGCTTTTTTTAAAAAAAAAAAAAAGAACTAAACTGCCATGTCTGTACTACTTTTTCTCTCTTTCGGATAAAAAAAAGTCTTTGCGTCTTTGCTATGTTGTTGACTACGAGTAACAATCTGTTAAAAATGAACGATGGACACAAAATTAGTTAACCCCTTTGTATGATAAAGTAAGTCGTGCAAGCAGAACATGAGCTAATTTGAATTGTCACAACATGAACAATTTCCGTATGTATGCACTCTAAGGAGAAGCAATTAACTACAACCCAAGCCTACCGTTACTAAATATCGTTCTTTTTGGACTTTTCTTTTTGGGTTTCCCCTCAAGGTTTCTAAAACACGTTTGCTAGGGAGGGGTTTCCACACCCTTATAAAGAATGACTTTGTTATCCCCTCCAACGTCACATTAACTATTTCACATGCCTTTTCACCAATAATATGCAAAAAGAAAACAAAGTAAATAAATAAAATAAAACATGAGTATAATAAGAATGATCAGACTAAGAATTTTCTTCCCGGGAGAGTTGCAATAGAATTAATCTTCTCTAAAGTATTTCACATTTTTGCTTTTAACACATGCTCCATGTTAATTTCAACTTAATCTCAAGGAAGAACCAGTTGTCCATGACAAAAAAAGTATATATATACATACATATATATATATATATATATATATATACCAATGCATCTGATATCAGACTGAATGAAAATAAAATCTACAAATTAGTACTAAAATGGTAATGGAAGATGAAGGGTTCACTTTCATTGACAGTGATTCGATGATTGGGGTTCATGGCTTGAAGTCCCCTTCAATGCATGATAAGATCAGTATTTGATGGCCTTGGTTTTTCCAATTCTAATAAGGGAGTTCAATTTTCAATGTCTTCAATGCATGATAAGATCAGTATTTGATGGCCTTGGTTTTTCCAATTATATTAAGGGAGTTCAATTTTCAATGTCTCAATAATCAAATTATATTGGATCCAGATCCACCGCCCGCAGTCCACCGGCAGTAGATATTGTCATCTTTGGACTTTCCCTTCCACCGGCAGCAGATATTGTCATCTTTGGGCTTTCCATTTCAGGCTTCCCCTCAAGGTTTAAAACACATATGTTAGGGGAAGATTTCCACGCCCTTATAAATAGTGGTTTGTTCTCCTCCCCAACCAATGTGGGAAATCACAATCCACCCCCCTTCGGGGCCCAGCGTCCTCGCTAGCACTCTTTCCTTCCTCCAATCGATGTGGGACTACCCCCAAATCTACCCCCCTTTGGAGCCCAGTGACCTTACTGGCACACCGCCTTGTGTCTACCCCCCTTCAAGGAACAGCGAGAAGACTGACACATCATCCGAACCTGGCTCTGATGCCATTTGTAATGACCCAGATCCACCGCTGGTAGATATTGTCCTCTTTGGGCTTTCCCTTTCGGACTTCCCCTCAAGGCTTTAAAACGTGTCTGCTAAGGGAAGGTTTTCACACCCTTATAAATGGTGGTTTGTTCTCCCCAACCAATGTGGGACATCACAAAATGCGACAGCTGATTCTCATTTAGTAGCTCGTGTTTTACGATCAGATAAGATGGGTCACGAAGAAAATAAGTTTATAAATTTTCGAGGCTAATCCATATTTTAATGAAGATGCTCGCCTACACCTTATGGTTCCCCCAACCTAGTCAGCTGCCCTTCGAAGCAAACATTCCATAAGGCCTCTTATAGTTTTGTTCATTTGTCATTCTCCTTTCCAAGTTCAGACTTATTTTCAAAAATAAGTGTACTGCTTTCCCCTAGATTTTCAGATGCTTCATTATCTTCGTCCCATTTATTGAGATGTCGAATCGTAACTCAGTATAAGCAACTAGGAATTGAAAATTGATAAAAAAAAGAAAAATCATTGTGAGAATATTAATCTCGAACAATCCTTGGCTCTCCTTTTTTCGGAAGAAGATATTGTACCTTCTTCAAAGTTTGTGGATGACCATGTCAAAGAAGATTTTCCAGTGGAGTCCATCCTCTTGATTCCTAGAAAAAAATCATCTCTTGTTGAGTTTAAGTTTAGTTGTTCTTTAAGAATTCCCTCCCCCCCCCCCCCCCCCCCCCCCCCCCCCCCCCCCCCCCCCCCCCCCCCCCCCCCCCCCCCCCCCCCCCCCCCCCCCCCCCCCCCCCCCCCCCCCCCCCCCCCCCCCCCCCCCCCCCCCCCCCCCCCCCCCCCCCCCCCCCCCCCC